AAGCGGACTTCTTGAAGTGCGCGTGGCGCCGTGCAGTCGCCGGCTACCCGAGGGACTCCACCAGGATCGCGCACCGCGCCGCGCTCAGTGCGCGGACTCGCTTTGATTCGGCGCGGCGGCGTTTCTTCGCTGTCTCTCTCGCACTCCCGGTGCGCCGCGGTGAGAGAGAGAGAGCGAGGAAACGGTGCGTAATAACGCAGGCCGGCCGTGACAGTTTCGACAGTTTTCCAATTAACAATAAATCACCGCGGCGAATTTCTCATCTTATTCGTCCGGCACGGCCGGGCATGGCCGGGCATGGCGGCTGCAGCTTGCAACTGCTTGCAACCGTTCGTCGTTGTCGTTGGGCTCGGCACGCTCGGCGCGCTCGGCGTGACCCGCAGCAACTTGTCGGACTGTGTGGCACACGCCGTGGCACACGCCGTGGCACACGCCGTGGCACACGCTGCAGTGCATGCTACCTGGGAAAGAAATGACTCCACCCCACGCGCGCGCGCTTTGTCCATTAGGTTGCCGGCGATACACTGTCTCTGTCTAGCGCGGAGTAGCAACGAGTACGGGGATTTCCGTCAACAACAGTTCAGACAGCCAAATGTTTCCTCGTTTTCGGGGGTTGTGCCCCCTGCGTGCGTCCGGGTCGGCGAGCCGGCGGGAGCTCTCTCCGAGAGAGCGAGAGCAAGAGAGAGAGAAAGATGGTGATGATGACGTCGGCGAGGAAGGAGGCGGCGCGGCGCGGCAAGGTGATGCGAGGACACCAACCCTCCGGATAAGGCAGGCTGGCTTCCGCTTGGGCAGTCATTGCCCCGACACTGGCAGGCAGGCACTGCCGCACTGCCGACGTACTCGGCACTCCACGCCGCTCCACGCACTACAGCCATGCTGCAGCGCCGCCCGTCAGCAGCCCGTCAGCGGCCCGTCAGCGACCCGTCCCCGTCGCCGAGCCGTCGCCAGGCCGTCGCCAGGCCGTCGCGGGTGGCGGTGGGGGGCGCGGTGCGGTGCAGCGCAGCGCACCGCCCGGAGCGCCTGCTATCAGCGGCGTAGCCTGTCCCGCCACGCGGACGTGAGCGGCGGGCCAGGCCGCGGCTCCCTCATTACCATTACCACTACGGGCTAGACCACACATCATCATATGCCGTTTCGGGCCCGACACAAGCTCGCCTGCACTGCAAAACGAGACGTGGCCGTCCTTACTAGGGGGACACGTTATACCGGCGGAGGCGAACCTCAAGCGGCTCGAAGCTCCCACTCGCAGTGCGGCCAGTCATGAAGGAGGCAAACATCCCCCGGAGGGACTGCAGGCCTCCGCCCCAGAAGCGCCTCTTTGAGCACTACCGGGTGCGCGCCCCACCATTTTGTCTGCGCCGCAGACCTGTGGTGTCATCATGACGAGACGGCCGGCAGCCCCCAAACCCGTCGACAGCTTCCACTATCCGCCCCGAGCGAGACCGAGACCAAAGGCCCGCGAATATTGAAAGTAAGTCCGGCGTTGGCAGCGCGGCGCAGCGCGGCCGGCCGGATTGATTGCCCTCTTCGAATTACTCAGTTAAGAGGCGTCGCCCACGCGCAAGCATTATAACATGCTGCACACGCCAAAAGATCCAATCGGCTCGGATCGGCTCGGCCCGGCTGGGCTCGGCCCGGCTCGGACCGGCACGGCTCGGCTCGGCTCCCGGAATCGCGAGGCGAAACTGGAGCGACGGCGCACGGCAGCGGAACAAGGCGGTAAATCAGGCGGGAAATACACTGAGAGAAGGGGTCGGTGCCTCACGATAAAACTGTGTTTTGTGGAACCCCCCAATGGCGACAGTTACACGAGTTCAATCCTTGCAACTGTTCAGCCGATGATCACAATAAGACTGCTAAATAGTGAGAGTGACTGAACCGCCAATAATAGTCAGCATGAAAGGACTCGATTAAACTGGCTTTAGTCATGGGCTTGATCGATGGTCAGTAGTTGCGACTAAAGCGTTTAGGTGTGGCACCGAAACACTGGCGATGCGACACTCAACACGGAAGTCGCGTTGCCATCTCCCAGCGCTCCGCCATAATCTCAACAGTGCGGTAGCTCAGTGGTCTCCGCGCCTGGAGGCTGGATAAGAAGCCGGGTTCGGGGGTTCAACTCCCCGTAGCGCAACCAGTTTCTCCTGGCATAGTATCTTTGTATACTATTGTGCTGTCAGGAGATGGACTGTGGGACACTTGGGACCCCAGGAAAGGGAGCGAGCTATCATTTTCTCGGTGCGTCCGCACACATTCGTCAGTCCAAGAGGCCCATCAATGCCGGCCTCTCTTAGTCAGCCAGGTGGGCGAGTTGGTAGAGCGACGGACTCGTAACACGTAGGTCCGTGGTTCGAGCACTCGTTTTGAAGTCGTTTTTTCATCGGTTTACGTTTATGTGTCAGGACTAAACAGTCAATCGTCAGACCTTATCGCATTCAGTCACTGTAACAAGATTTGATTTAGTGGCAGTGGCTAAAGTAGACAGACGACATGTTAGAAAAAGAGTACATCTCACAGCTAAAGTAGTGCGACTAAACGATTTAAATGTGACCATCGAACGTTTAATTGAACCCCCAGCGACCAAACAGATTGGTTGTCACAGCTGTAAGTTTAGGTGTGGCCCCAAAACATTTCCCTCAGTGTATGATTGTTATTCGGCTTGTCGCGTCGTTGGCGTGTGCCCGGCTCTGCTCGACGGTGTCGCCACGCCGTGTTCGCCCGCGCCCCCTGCCTCGGCGTCCCCCAAAACACGAGAGGTAACTGCTCGTCGTCGTGGGGGGCGGCAGGCCGACGGTAGGCGGCAGTCAAGTCTTTCCACTCCAGCCGGCGTGTCAGACAACACGGCCAAACAGGTGAATCACCACCTCCGGGAGCCTCATTTTCTTCGTTCGTAATTTTTTAAGTTTTTTTCTTTTTTCACTTTTGTTTGCCGGGTGAGTGCAAAGTGAGCTGGGCGGTCGGCTCGCTGCCGGTGTGGTGCCCACAGCTAAGCCGTCGCAATACGCTAAGACGCCGACGTGTACGTGTGTGTGTTTGTGTGTGTGCGCGCGCCCCACGCCGTTCACTGATTCCGTTAAATGCTAATCGGCGCGCTCATATTTCACGGCGGTAGCCGCGGCAGCCCGAGCCGCCCGCGGCGTCGACGACCAGGACGACGTCCACGTATTGTCGGGGAGGCCCGTGAGTGGGAGTCGCGTGCTAATTTGGCCGGTCAGGCTGGCCAACCATCGCAAGGGCAGCGCTTCCATGAGGTTGGCAGCACTGCGGGGACCGCGCCCCGCGCCCCGCCGAGCGAGGCAGAGCAACGTCCTGCTGGACGGGGTCACTCCTTGCACCCTGCCACTTTGGAACACATGTCATCGTCGTTCTACATTGTCCTTGCGGTGCTGTTCCGCGCGGTTCCGCGCCCTGCCTGCTTCCCCAGCCGAGGCGGCCCGCTGTTTCCGGCCGGGCGTGGCCGTCGACGAAAAAAATGCCGCGGTCTTCTATTTATCGATGGCGCGCATGCCCATGTATAGCTGTCGGCATGCCCGCCCCGCCCCGCCCCGGCCCGCCCCGCCCCGCCCCGGCGGATCGACAATCGGCAATCGGAAACAGGTTCCTCGCATTTGGCTAATAGATTTCGTTTTGCATGCGGCCAGCGTCGCGTCAGCGCGGCCGCCGCCTCTTTGCGCCGCGTCCCGTCGATTGGGGGTTCGACGGCCCGACCATGGAGGAGAACCCCGTCACCGAGCCGCGCACCCGGGCCGACGCGACCGACGGCCCGGCCATGCTGAGCCGCCGTCGCGACGAACGGCCGCACGGAGCGGCAGCGCGGCGTGGCAGCGCGCGGAAGTCCCCCATTTGCGCTTGGAGAGCAGCAGAGACCTTGCAGCACATCCAATCCGGCCGGCCAGACCGCGCCGCCGCGCCGCCGCGCTCGGCTCGCCCATTGTGGCGCCGCAGTTTATCGGCGCGGTGCCGCGGAAGGCCGCCAAGGGCCCCGAGCAGCCCCGAGCCGCAGGGCTGCCATGGGCTGCCAGCGGGCCACTTTACGGCGCCGTCGTCCCGATCCAGCGCCGCCAGGCCGCCAACGTGCGGCCGCGAATGGAGGCCCCGCGATAGGGTGGCAGTGCAGTGCACCGCGGCCGAGGGGGGTCTTCCCCGGTCTTCCCGCAGGGCTGCCACCTCGATGGAGATATACTCGGGGTAGGACAATGCGGCTGCTGCGGCGCGCTCGCTGAGTTACTACCCGCGCTGCTTCTGAATGGACACAGACCGACACAGACGCCCTTGCCTTCCCTTTCCCCTCACTGGCCGTGCCGCCCTGCGGACTCATTCCGGGAGTCGTTTTCGTCGCTCTGTCTCTCACGCACTCCATGGGGTGGCCCGCATAGGTGCGAGAGAGACAGAGCGACGAAAAGGACTCTCGGAATGAGTCTGCCGCGCACACATCACACATGCAGCGCAATGCAGCCAACTGTGTGGCGGAAAGGAGATCCGGCCCACGGACTGGAGGCTGGAGGCTCCAACAAGACCTCTTACTCACGCGGGTAGACATTCGTCTGGGGGACAGCGCGGTGGCAGCGGCGGGGACAGCGTCGTCCGGCAGACATCAGCGCTCCGAGATAGCTAGCCGAGTTCTCGAACCAGCGAAATAAAATCTAAGAAGGCGTTCTCTGCGGCGAGGTCGGCGGCGTAGACCGCGCACAGAGCAGGACCATGTCCCTCGGCCGCGCCCGAGCCAAAGGGCTAGGCCAGGTCAGGCCAGGCTACGCACGCTGCGATAGCGACGGGACGCGTTATTGCCGGGTCCGCGTGGTGCAGCACCAGTGCAGCACCAGTGCAGCACCAGTGCAGCACCACGCCCTCCACCTTGTTTTCCGTATCAGCTGCGTGTTGGCGTGGCGGCCAGGCGGTGCAGCACGGTGCTGGCAACGGCGCCGTCGATAGAGCGCGGCGGTGTCGGGTGTCGGCCGCTTGGACCGCCAGGCCGCGCGGTCGCTGCGCGGGCTACTCACGTGGCGAAAGGCTCGGGGTCCATGTCGTAGAACTTGTCGATGGGGTCGCGCTTGATGAGCCTGGATAGCTGCGTCTCGTCCACCAGCACGATGCCCTCCTGCACGTTGCGCGTCTTCCACTGCACCACCTGCTGGGTGGCGGTCTTCTTGCGCACGATCCTGCCGGGCCGCAGCCCCGTGCTGACGGGCCCCGCGGGGCCGCCGCCGCTGCCTGGCCCGGCGCTGCGCGACTTGTTGGCGCTGCTGATGGTGGCCGACGTGGACCCGGGAGGACCGCCCGACGACGAGCTGCGGCGGCCGGGGGCCGTGGCCGGCACCGCGACGCCCAGCCCGACGACGGGGGTGGCGGAGGCCGTGGTGGCCGCCACCGCGCAGGGGCGGGAGCCCCGGCCACCCCCCGCGCCGGCGCCACCGGCCCCCGGCGCCGAGAAGGCAGTCGCAGAGGCCATTTCGGTGGGACGAACCGTCACCACATATCACTGTACCGCACGCTGTCACTCGCGTCTTTGTCGCACATCACTCGGACACGGTGTCTAGTGTCCCTCTCGACGCACCAAGCACACGACTCACTGCTCGGCCCGTCGACCCGGCTCGGCTCGGCACGACTCGCTTGCTGGCTCGGCTAGGCTCGGCTCGGCTCGACTCGCGGCACAGGACGCGCAGGACTCCACGGGGCGAAGCGTGGAGCGGAACTGACCCTGCGCGGCGTAGCGCGGCACCGCGGCACCGCGCAGGCAGGCGGGCCGCGCCACGCCCGCCCCCCTCCCCCCGCAACTAGCCGCAACACGCCATTAGCCCTCGGTACGCGCGGCACGCGGTGCCGCCGCTTTATTTGCCTCACTTCCACGTTGCTTTTGGCTCATCCCGCGGCTGATCACAGAGTGCGCCGGCCAGGCCGAGGGCCAGGCGGCTGCCGTCGTCTCGGGTTTCGTTCCGAGGAGCCGACCGCGCTGCTGCAGCCCGTGCGGCCTGTGCGGCCCCAGCAGTACACCAATTGGCGCGCAGCCACCGCCAGCTACTTCCACGAATGGAGCCATCATCACGCCGCGGCCCTGCACGCCCTGCACCAGACCGCGCCACGCCACGCCCGGATCGGCGGACAGGTGCGGTCACGGCATTATGTCTTGACCAGAGCATTGTGGTCTTTGTGTGGGTCCGGCCGGCCGGCCGGCCGCCAGTTCCGAGTCCTTCATCGGAAGTTTTGCTCCGTTTTTCATTCCATGGCCACATGACCAAAAGACCGCGCTAGCGTAGCGCCCCGCCAGGCCGGCCGCGCTCGCCGCCCGGCACGTCCTTGCGGCAGGTCAGCCGGCGGGTCATTTTCGAGAATGTTTCCTCGGACGACCAGGACGTATAGGATGACCAGGAGGACGAACAGGATGACCAGGACGACCAGAACCTCACTGCACCGCGGGGGCCCTTCCTGCCGGACGCCAAGCCAGTGGACGACGCCGTCGAGGATAAGCAGGCCGCCGCCGTCCTCGTAGTGTAAGCGCGCCGCCGTCGACCGGCCATTTACTATCGCGGTATCGGATCTGGCGGCGGACTCGGCGACGCGCTCTCTTCTCTTCCGCGTCGATTTGACATTTTGGAGGTGTCCGACGGCAAGCCGAAGGCCGAACGCGTGGCGAGCGCGAGCGCGGCGGAGCGAGATGGGGCGCGGCGGCGCGGCGGCCGAATAGTGAATATCTTTTCAACTGGTCCGCCCACCCTCGCCTGCCTCGCCTGCCTCGCCTCGCGGCCGCGGCTCCACACCGCGGGAGTGGCGTCTCGTCGCGGACGTGGCGGCGCGGGGCGGCGCGTCGGACGCGTGTCGCTAATTGGAAAGGGCACGGCGACGGCGGCCCCGCGGCCCCGCGGCCCCGCGACCCTTACGTGCGCATTTGCGTGGCCCGCAAGTGCGCCCAGTGTCCCAATTCGCGCCAACTAAAAAAAGGAATGAGTCGGAAAACGGGCAACTTTAGTTTGCGCTGCCTTCCACGGCCGTGTCGCTCCGCGCAGGTGGCAGTTTGCATGCGCGTGTGGCTGTGAGTGTGCGAGTGTGTGGGTGGCGAGCCGCGGAGCCGCGGAGCCGCGCGCTCTGGTCTCCGCGTGTACGGCATACTGCTAATTGGAGATATGGCAGGCAGGCAGGCCGGGCTGGGCCGGGCTACGCTGCGAGAGGCCTGCAGGGCTCGGGGCCTGGAGACAGGCGTCGAACCCATTCCAGGAAAACTTTGCCGTCGCACACCAAATGTTCAATCTATATTTTCAGTTGGTATATCGAAAAAAAAATATTGAAACAAAATATCGACTCTTCGTGGCGCATTACTTTTTTGGTGGCCACAGCTTTGTCCCGGGCCGGCTGACTCGATCTTTTCATCTTTCCCAATCTTTTCCCCATCGGTTGGCTAAGCCGGGCGCGAATCGCGAAGCGCGGGCGCCATGTGTGCGGCGTGGCCGGCCCGGCCGGCCCGGCCAGCCCGGACTCCAGCGCGGCCACGCCGATAATAAATTAAGCGAGGATAGTTTTATTCCGCCGCAGGAGGCGTGGGATGGCTTCTCTTCTTTTGTCGCAGTCTAGTTTACAAGCGGCGCACGTTTCCAGCTCGAAGCGTCCCGTCCCAGCGTCCCCGGCCGTAGGCGCAGCGCCGCGCAGCGCTCAGCGCTAGTGGGTTCAGGGCAGCCACGCCGAGGACTGCGCCCTCGGCGACGCCACCACCACCGGCGGCGAGGCCAAGCCGGACTGATTACGAGAGTCGTTTTCGTCGCGCCGTCTCTCTCGCACTCTTCACTCAACCCGTTGAGGAGCGAGAGAGAGAGAGAGAGAGAGAGAGAGAGAGAGAGAGAGAGAGAGAGAGAGAGAGAGAGAGAGAGAGAGAGAGCGACGAAAGAGACTCTCGGAATCGGTGAGCTGCTCGTCGGCGGCCCTTGGTCGGCGACAAGCTCGTGACGACGAGATATGCCCCTCCGGCCTCCACTCCGGTGATGGAGCCCTGCGTCGTCTTCTTGGGCTGCGTCGTGCGCGCCGTGCTCGGGCCGCGCTCGCGGAGACGCTCGCCAGCCTAATACGTCGCGAGCGCACGTGAGCGCGCACGGCGCAGCGCTGCGCAAGAAGGCAGATAACAGCGGAAAAAAAAAATAGTCGGACCTTGGAAAGTTGGCCGGCGCGGCGCGCACCAAGGAAAATTATTGCTCGAAAATGCACCGCCGCATGGCGCGCGGAGCCGCGGAGCCGCGGAGCACTAAACCTACATGCTGCCGGTGCCGCAGCGCCGCGTTGCGTTTTACGGCGCCGTGGTGCCACCTTGGGCCGCAGCCCCGGCACACTGTCTCTCTCGCACCCCTCCGCACTGCCCTATGAGTGCGAGAGAGACAGAGAGTGCCGGTACGCCGTCTGGCCGCACACGGCGTGCGCGGCGTGCACGGCGGCGTCGCGGCGGAGAGCGAGCAGATGGACCAGCAATGTGCATGTTGCGCGCTCGCCGCTGCCGGGAGTCGAACCCGGGCGGAAATAATGCCGCCGCTTGGAGTTTGGACTCATCAGGAAACGGCGGCACGGCGATCCAATCACCACGACGACGAAGAGGACGCGCCGGCTTCGGGGAAGCCTTCGCCATGTTCGCGCGGCTCATCGCCGGCGCCTCTCCGCGAGGGCATGGGATGGCATGGGCCCGGGCAGGGTCTTCGACTCGCCAGAAGGACGCCGCCCAACGCGCTTCCGACGCTGACCGCAGCACCGCCGCAAACCAGCGGCCTGATTCCGAGAATCCTTTTCGTCTCTCTGTCTCTCTCGCACCTGCAGGGGACGCCCCATGAGTGCGAGAGAGACAGAGCTGCCTGCAGGCACAGCGCGGGGCAGTGCCAGGCAGTGCACGGGGTACGCGACGAGAGACGAGACGGGCAGCGAGACGCGCAGCGCGATCGCGGATTGTTTTCCCAACAGGGGAACCTACTCATCGGAGGCATGACAGCATCGCATGGACGGCATGCGCTGCCCGTGACGACACCGCCGGCACCGCCAGGCGTTCTCCGAAGCCGTCTCTTCTGAAATCTCTTGAAATAGGTTTCACGGTGGGACAGCTGTTGCGGCCTGTCCCGCCTGTCGCGCCTGTCCGGTGTCTCAGCCTCCCGCTGACCTGCAAAGGCGTACACGACACACTCACACCAACACACACACACACACACACACACACACACACACACACACACACACACACACAAGCGAAGCAAAGTAGCCCAAATCGCGAGGGCGGCGTTATGATTTCGTTCCGACAGGACGGTAGCCCGGCGTCGCGCTGTCTCTCTCCCACCCCTCCGCATGGCCCCTTGAGTGCGAGGGAGGCAGAGCGACGAACCTGGTGGCCGCCCAGCCAGTCCGGCCTGCGCCCTGGACACATCCGTCATCGAACGGCGGATGTTGCGCGCGCGGGACGGGACCGCTGGTCGGAAAGCAGGGCGAGCAGGGCGCCAGACCGATATCGCTATGGCGTGTGTCATCTCGCATCTCACACTGCTCGGGCTCACAGAAAGAATCAGAGAGAGAGAGATAGAGCGACAGGGAGAAGGATAGAGCGAGAGAAAAAAATGCGAAAGATCATTGTGGTCCTTGGTGCGGTCACTTCCGGCGCTGTTCCCGCCATATTTGGCCGAGCGAGTTATTTGGCCGTGCGACGCAGATCGAGAAGGGGGGGGGGCTGACAGGGGCTGACTGATTTCGTTTTCATAGATGAGAACACGCGGACACACACACACACTCACAACACACATGCACACAAGCACACAATCACACACGGCGCTGGGGAGACTTTAACGCGGGAGAGGGGCAGGGCAAGCCGGGCAAGACGCAGCGGGACGGGAGCTCCGAGTCGTTTCGCCCACCACAACAACCAGGACCAGGCGTGCGATGGGTGGCCTGCGGTGCGGGGCAGCCAGGGGCAGCCAGGGGCAGCGCTGCGCCGCTCGGCCGGCCGATGGCGACTTTGCTGCGCCGGGGAGTAGGCAGCCCAACGCACGCGGGACGGTTCGACGGTCGCGAACCAGCTCCGGTACACAAAGTAAACACGAATTTCGAGAGCGCAGCCCAATGCAGCCTGCCGACTCGCCGTGATTATGAAGAGCAGGGTGTATACTTATTTGCTCGGTAAAAACTGTTCCTGGGTTTCCCAGGAACTCCCTGGAAATCGCCTATGCCTTCACCATTGGCCTCCTGGGAAAACTAGGTTCCGTTTTTACCGTGTGGTGTTTGCTCATTGGGCTCTGTTGGTGCTATACATAGTGGGATTCGGATACCGTGGGTTAGTGAAATGATCGTCTTGCAACATCATTCTGAGACACTAATGATTCTTTTAATTGAATATTTTACAATAAAGTCGTGAATCAACGTACGAAGTTAATCACATTTCAACTTGAGCATTAAGTACAAGCCGTTTCGTTTCCGGCCACAACTGACAACTTCTGCCACAGACAATTACATAAGTAGAGTGAGTCGCTTGGAACGGACTGCTCTGCAGGAACGATATTATCCTTTGAATATTATCGACTGCAACCTCAGTCGTTCGGAGGACTTCTCAGTTGTGCGCGTGAAACAGAACAGGAGACGTGCTAAAACTTCTCTGCGCTCTTCACTCAACTAAATCTATATATACATAGAAGAACACAATGTAAGTAGGTTGGTATTCAGGCAGGTCATGGAATTATACCTCTTCCTCCTCCTGGAGTTTTTTTTTCGCGTCGACACAGTGTCGGGCAAGAACAGGTTCTGAAGGTAATCACGTAAGTGCAGAGCAATTACCCTTACAACGAAACTTCAGGCAAAAGGTGTGACACTTTGGGTACGTTAACGGCATGGCAAGCACAGCGACCACACAACAAACTTGCTTTTGCCCGGCAAGCATTCGTTTTCATTCTCTAATCATCCTAATATAAATAGTATTTTATTCTAAATACATTTCCACTTAGGCCTATGGTGTGCTTTGTTGGAATTCGACATACAATATGGAATGGCTCAATTGTTTGTAACTATGGCGCATAAGTGACTGGAGTGTTGAAAAAGTATAATTGCAGCACTATTGTACTGGCAGTGAAATGTCCTTCCATGAAGGGACATTCCTTGTTCCACGCAATAAATAAAACTAGTAAACTAACGAACTTAAATATTCATTTACAATCTCGGCTGTGGTACCATTCTTTTTCAGCAAGAAGGCGTAGGAAACACTGAAAACTAATCTTTACGGACCATTCCACGATAGCAAAATAAATTTAAAGCTAGTAACCACGAATTTTTTTGTTCTGACGTCAGCAGAAATATAAAACAAAACTTATGAATTACTGAGCAAATTGTTCACCTTATTTTAAAGTCATGTTCAATATCACTCGAAACACAATTTATCAAACTAGTAAAAAAAAATCTAAGCCAGCAATATGATTTTGTTGACGAAGATACATCCGAATTTAATCCATAAGTCCCTATTTTACTTTCTCTTTCTTTCAAAGCAGCGCAACACCCTCGTAATCCGGATAGGAAGACTAGATCTTGCAGTTAAAAAGTAAGGTCAGTACTGTACCGTAGGACAAAAAAATACAAAAATAAAGTAACATGCTGGAAACAGGTCACGTTATTGGCGACGATTAGTTTTTTTGTGGCAACACGGATTGCTTCCGAGTCCCAGACACAATCACTGCGCCTGCGTGGCGATCCTTTTGTTGGACCAGCCGGTCTTGGAGGGCGGCGGGCCGGGCGGCGACCGGTCGATTGGTCGACTACTCGTCGCACTTGAGGTTGAGCTCGTGGCGACTCTCCCTGCGGCCCGCGCGGGGCTTCAAGCCTGGGTTCAAGCCCGGCCCGGCGGGCGGCCAGCCCACTAGCTTCTCGTCCGGCACCTGTGGGGCAGAGAGCGCGGTCAGACCCCTGCGAGGTAGGCAGCCCAACGGGCGGGGAGGGCGAGGCTACTGACCTGAGCGCAGGTCGGCCCACACCAGGACCGCGCCAGGGGTCGCTGGTACAGGCCGTGGTGGTGCAGGTGCGTCAGCTGCTGCTGGTAGATGGACCACAGCTGCAGCTGGCGCTTGGTCGCCGTCGCAGTGGGTGCGCACTGGCGTCACTCGTTCTTCTTGGCCTCGGTGACCGTCTTCTGGTCGCCGGGCAGCTGGGTGGCGAGGCCGTTGGCCACGCCGTTGGCCACGCCGTTGGCGGTGCCGTTGGGGGCGCTACCGTTGCCGATCATCTGCTGCTGCTTGAGCTGCTGCTGGGCCTGCAGCCGGGGCTTCTCTTTCCGGTAGGCCGTCAGGTAGAAGTCGTAGAACAGGGCGTAGAAGATGATGGAGTGCACCAGCAGCAGGGCGGCGATGAACTTGGGGTAGCCGCAGTCGTAGTAGATGGCCTGCAGCGAGTGGAAGAAGACAAGCACGAACTGGGCCTGCAGCAAGGAGGAGAGAGACGGGTTAGAAGGAGGGAGACGGCGCGCCGCAGCGTGCCCATTAAGAGGGACAGGGACAGCGCGTGCCGATACTGTCTTATTGCCCTCCAGCGTGAGAACGGCGTGTTAACGACGGCCAAAGCGCGGCGTCTTGTCCTCCCAGTGCACCGCCGCCAAAGCCGCGGTCCGTGCCCAGCCATTCAGCCATTCACTGAAGTGGCGGCGGCGGGCGGCGGCGGCCCTGAACTTGGTTATGCAACGCGGTGCAGCGCCCCGTCCCGTCCCCCTCCCCGCGGCCCCGCCCCGCCCCGCCCCGCCCCAGCCCAGTCTCGTTCCATTCCATTATGCAGCCAGACGCGTTGCGCAGCCTCCCTTTATTAAATCGCGCCGTTTTTTCCAATTACTTCTCGAGCTGCTCGCCTGTACTGCGAGGCGGGCGGCGTGGCGGTGGGACGACGGCGTGCGGAGTCCCCCGAAAGCGCAACGCGGCGACGCGGCGGCCAGGAGGCCAGCGCCGGTGGCGCGGTGCGTGTGTCATGGTCGGCTCCCACGTCAATAAGGTCCCGCTAGCTTCGCTCTACCGGCAGGCCGGCGGCGGTCTTGAACCTGAGCGGGGCGGGGCGGGGCGGGGCGGGGCGGGGCGGGGCGCGGGGCGGCGCGGGGAGGCGCGGCCGGCGTCGCGTGTCCAGCCTGCCGGGGAAGTCCCTCTTGCCCGACGGGCGTGGCGCAGCGAGGCGCCGACCGGCCGGCCAGCCTCAGCCAGCCTCAGATGCACTGGTGACAAATTCAGCAGGGGTGAGGCAACTCCGCCGGCCGCTCGCATCACCTCGCGCGCGCGCGCGTGCGTGTATGTATGTGTGTGTGTGTGTGTGAGTGTGTGAGTGCGCATGATTATACCAGTCTGCATCGCAGGCCTATCGTTCGGTAAGCGGCGAAGGCATGCGGCATTCGCCGGCCCGCGGGTAGAGACGGCGGCGTGTGTGCAACCTGGAGTTGCCTGGAGTTGCCTGGAGTCCGGGTTCCAGACGCAACCCGGACCCGGTTGTTGGTTCGCCGAGTGGCCGGTCAGAGAGCGCGGCGGTCGCACGGCGTGCCGCCGCCTTGCCCATAGGCCTTGCCGGACAGAGAGGATGTCTTCCGAACTAAAAATAGCGGCCGATTAACCGACTGGGCTTTTCCTCGGCCCGCGGGTTTCGGTTTCGGTTTCGGCTCGGCTTCAAGTCAAGGAAAGGAATGCGAAGGCGAACGTGTCCCGTCCCGGGCCCTTGTGCTGCGCATGCGGCATGCCCGACGCGCATTGGGAAACGGAGGCAAGTCAGGGCCGGGCCGGGCCGGGCAGGGCCAGCGGCGACGCGGCCGGCCGGCCCGGGCCCACTGCTGCCCACGCCGACACCGACTGACCACTCCTCGATGCTGTTGTCGGGGACATGAGTGTCACCTGTACCCCATCAAGAACCCTCTGGTTGCGCCACCGAAACGCAGCAGGCGTCGGCGGCGTCCAGCGCCTGTTTGCGTGTGCCCGTGTGCCCGTACCTCTGTGTGTGTGTGTGTGTGTGTGTGTGTGTGTGTGTGTGTGTGTGTGTGTGGTGTGTGAGCGCGAGTCTGCTGCGCGTGTGTGCGTGCGCGTAGTGTACACCTATAATGGCTGATACACTCCCCCCGCCAGGCCTCCTCCGTCTTCGCAGGATATTTGCTAAGTACGAGAGCAGCTTCAGAAGCGCGCGCGGTGACGTAAAAGTGCGAGCACGCGAAGCCTGGCGAGCCTGGCGAAGCCAATGCGGAGGGGCGGCGCCGCCACCGACCGCCACAGGCCGCCACGCGCGAAGGCTCGCGGTGAGCTTCACGCGCTCCGAACTTGGCGCCCCGCTGCACACCGCTGCAGCATGCAGCACGCTGGCCGCGCGGCCCGGCCGCCGTTCGGCCGCAGGTAGGCTGCAGGGCCCAAACGTGGGGAATGTGGGTCAGGGCTCTGCCTTGCTCTGCACTCACCAGCTGGGTCTTGGTGAGGTACTTCTTCCACCAGATGTACTTGGCGTACTGCGGGCCCATGGCGGACACCATGTAGTAGGCGTACAGCAGCACGTGCACGAAGTTGTTGACCAGGTTGGAGAAGGTGCCGTGGCCGCCTGCAACGAAGGGGAAGGGGGACAGCGCTCGTCAATGGGGGCTCGCTCTCAATGGGCTCGGCAAGTAAAGGCTCATCAACGCACCCGCGAGGAACTTGACGCAGATCCAGGTCTCGAGCGGGGTGAGGGAGTGGTGGTACAGGTGGAGCAGGGAGATCTGGTTGTCCTTCTTGCGGAGCACGAAGAAGACCTGCAAAGCAGTCCGGCGGTGCGGTTAGAGGGGGGCGGTGGTGGAGCGGGGCCCGGCGGCCGCGCCACGCCGCGCCACGCCACGCCACGCCACGCCACGCCGCGCCGCGCCACGCCACGCCATGTCTCTCGTCTTCCATGCGTTATTGATCGGGGGGGAAAAGAATGGAAGGTGAGAATGAGGCGGAATGTGACTGACGCACTTTGGCCTGGGACCGAGCCTCGCTCTTAAGCAGGTTGCTCCTGTTTCAGCAGTATTACAAGGTTACAGGCTTTTGTTTGTTGCATTTTTTTTGTAAGAAAAATGTTTGTTTTTGGGCCGACGAGAATTTAATGGCATGCCGCACCAGGAACTGATTGGATACGATTACCACCAGCCGCAGTCTACACTGCTAGGCAAATTAAAATCGCATTGAAGACTAGAAAAGTTCTGAAACCGCCAGGGTTTCCTTTTTTTTAAGTCAAGACTTGATCTCGTGGTGACAGGGCCGCCCTTGATGGTGAAGCAGATGCCTTGGTGATGGCGATGAGGATGATGATGATGATGATGATTTTGGTGATCATGATGGCATGCAGCATGAAAAATAAAGCACAATGAAAAGCGTGATAAGGGCAAGGATCTGCTGCTTGCCGATGACGCGTTTTTCTTTTCTTTCTTTCCTATTTCTTCTGTCTCTTCTGAGTATTCATGTTCGTCCTTTAGGACCTTGACCTAGAAAAGCAGCTTGGGTGCAAAATGGATGAATATGAAATGATATGAAATGAAATGATATGAAATGATATGATGGCATGATATGACGTGGAACAACTGTAAGAAACTTGTTCGTACCGTATCGGCGAATTCGGTGAGCTTCGAAATGTAATACCACCAACAGAGATTAGCCATCTGTCGAAAAAAACAAATGAAACAACACCAATTACTCCCAACACGCTCCAAACAAAGTGAGTAAACACGGATCAGAAAGTTCGCGAAGCACTTACTCTCGTGGCGATGGGGTTCGAGGAGTAGTCCACGGGCTGGCAGGCGTAACTGTAGTTCATGAACCATCCGCTCATCAAGTGCTGCAACAAAAACGGGCCATTTTTACGGGCGGCTCGCGAGCGGCGCGCGCGACAAGCGGCCGATGAGGAAAACGTCAATCCAATTGAGCCAAATACAATGCCGCGCGGCTCCGCGGCTACTGTGCACTACTGTGCCAAGGCGCCTCGCCGTTCAAACAATGAGTGGCAAAAAAAATAGGCGCTGCATTCAAGCCGAGGCCTCGCCGACTTGCGGCGCGCGGCCGCGTGTCGCAGCGACCGCTATGGCGGCTATGGGCCTGCGTTGGCGCCGAGTCACCGCCGGATCGATTCTTATCGAGGTATCGAAATGCAACCGCAGAGTCATTCCCGCGGCGCCCGCGGCACTGTACCAAAAGCGCTGGATTGGTAATTTACGTGGATCGGCGCGCGATGCGGGGCGCCGGGGCGGGGCAACGAGACGCTATGACGTTCCCGCCCAACTTTTTCCCGCTCGGCGTTTCGAAATGCGCGCCACCCTTGCGGGCCTCGCGCGCGCCTCGGCCGGCACTGCCTTTTAAACGTTCCGCCGCGTTCCGCCGCCTTCCCGCGCAAATGACTCGCCTCATAAAAAGTATTTGCATTTGCATCCCCGACGGGCGGTCGTATGAGAAACGCGCCGCGTGGAAGCCGAGTGCCGCGGCGCGATGGCTTCGAACCGCGCAGTCTCCGTCGCACTCGCGGGGCGCGGGGCGGGGTCGGGGTGAGAAGACGCGTCGAATCGTGTCGCCTTGCGGCCGCCCTGGCCGCGCTGGCCACACGCGACCGCCCGGCCATCACGCCGCCACGACGACGGCGGCGGCCATCACGCGCAATCACTCGCCAACAGGTTTACTTCGGTTTCCGAGTCCTTTCCGTCGCGGAGAGCGCGCGTGCACTCGCCGGCTATTTTTAGTTTGAGGTTTACTGAGCGCTCGTTAAATCGAATCGCCACGAGCGGGATTGCACAAAGATGCCCCGTTTGCGACAGTGAAGCTGGGCTGTGGCTAGCCGGCGGTGCGGTTCACGTATTGGCGTCGACCGCTGCACGTCGGCGTCGACCGCTGCACATCGGCGTCGACCGCTGCACGCCGACGTCAGCAGCTGCATGCCGACGTCAGACGCTGCACGTCAGCGTCGGCCGGCGCGCGGTTTGGGCAACGACGGGGCGCTGCTTTCCCTCAAGGCCAGGGGCAGCGCGGTCAGGATTACGCTGGCAGTGTAATGGCAGCCCTCGACGCAACACTCTCTCACACACACTCGCTCGGCAACACACACATCGATTCGAAAAGTAGCACTGCGGCGCCTCTCCAGCGCAGCCTCTCCACTCCAGCCACTGCAGCCACTCCAGCGCGGCCACGCTGCTGCTGCGCCGTGCTGCGCCGCGGCCTCGGAGCGCCCGGCAGGTAGGCAGCACGGCGACAGCGGAGGGGGCGGGTTGCCTACCCCGGTTCTGCAGGGCGCTTCAGCGCTCGCCCGACGCGTCACGCCCGTCAGCAGCTGTCAGCCGTCACCGCGACAACGACGCGACTCACAGTGGGCCAGAAGACCGGCGGAGGCGGCCAAAACTCTCGAAGCATTTTTAGCTCCAGAGTCGCCAAACAGGGCTCGAACCGAACGTGTGACCCCACCAATGGATTGCTCTTCGAACGAGGAATCCATTGGTGGGGTCACACGTTCGGTTCGAGTCCCATTTAGCGACTTTCGAGCTCAAAACGCGTCTAGAGTTTTGGCCGCCTCCACCGGTCGTCTGGCCCACTGTGCGACTTCGACCTCGCCCCGGCAGCGCTTCGGCGGCACTCGGTGGCACTTCGGCCAGACCGAAGACGAGTCCTCAAACAACACGCACACTGCACACGCGCACACTCACCTCGTAAAACATAATGCTGCTATATAAAACTTGAAACGCGTTGTAAACGACGATAATTTTATTAAGTTGGAAGGGTTTTCTATTGGCCATGATGGAGGGGCCTATGACGACCACCGACAGGAGGTAGACGGCGACCATGGCGAGCGTGGGGAACGGCGAGTCCATGAGCGGCCAGTCCGCCACCCGGGGATCTGCAACAGAAGGAGAGCGGCGCCATGAAACCAAAGGTGAACTGCGAAGGCCGTAGGCCGGCCCTCACCACTCCCCCTGATTGGCTGCGACCCGTTGCCAAAAGTTGCGTCGCAACGGCACGGATGGGCGACTGTGATACAAGACCGCGCCATTCAGGAAAAAAAACTGGACTTGCGGCCTGCTTTTTTTTTGTGGTCGCTTTGGACCGCAGCGCGGAGTCTGCGGCGGACGGCGTCGTTCGGGGCCCGCACCTTCCTCGGCGGCGCGCCGCGTGGGGTAGGTCGGCGCCAAGCGCAGCAGCGGGCCCCGCCCGGGCCCCGCCACGCCCGGGCCCCGCCAAGCCCGGGCCCCGCCACGCCCGGCCCGCACGCCCGGGCCCCGCCACGCCCGGGCCCCGCCCGCCCGGCCCCGCCACGCCCGGGCCCCGCCACGCCCGGGCGCCCCCGCCCCGCCACGCCCGGGCCCCGCCACGCCCGGGCCCCGCCACGCCCGGGCCCCGCCACGCCCGGGCCCCGCCACGCCCGGGCCCGCCACGCCCGGGCCCCGCCACGCCCGGCCCGCCACGCCCGGCCCCGCCCGCCCGGGCCCCGCCACGCCCGGGCCCCGCCACGCCCGGGCCCCGCCACGCCCGGGCCCCGCCACGCCCGGGCCCCGCCACGCCCGGGCCCCGCCACGCCCGGGCCGCCACGCCCGGGCCCGCCACGCCCGGGCCCCGCCACGCCCGGGCCCCGCCACGCCCGGCCCCGCCACGCCGCCCCGCCACGCCCGGGCCCCGCCACGCCCGGGCCCCGCCACGCCCGGGCCACGCCCGGGCCCCGCCACGCCCGGGCCCCGCCACGCCCGGGCCCCGCCACGCCACGCCCGGGCCCCGCCACGCCCGGGCCCCGCCACGGCCCACTGAGCCGCTTTTACCAATTACCAATGAGCGACGGGCGCGCCCGGCCGCGCCGCGCCGCGCCGATTTGACAAGATGTGGAGTAACGTGACGCGGTGGACTCGGTTTGGCCTGATTTTGTTCACCTGCTGGGCGCCATGGCGCGCCATGCCGGTCTGCTGGATTCGCCAGCAAACTCGCACCAAGCGCAGAGCAGGACTGTGCCCTGGATCCTGGGCAATCCCGGGCAATGCTAGTGCCGCCCGGCTGGCGGCCCAGTGGCCAGTGGACCACGCCTCGCCACGCCACGCCCGCGTGACGCACGAGACTGGCACCTCTTACTTTTACAATCTGGAGGCAGATTTACCCCGCGAGGCGCGATGAGGTGCCGGGTCAATAAATCTCCTCTTGGCGGCCTGCGCGTGCAATGCAGCTCCCGGCCGCCGACGGGAAGTGCAGAGTGAGCCCCGCCCCGCCCCGCCCCGCCCCGCACCTGCACTGGGAATCCTGCGACGTGACAGCGCGTTGAAAGGAGAGCGACAGAGTCCCTTTAAGAATTAATTGTGGGTGGGTGGGTTTTGGACTGATGCATTAATCATATCAAGAATGCGACACATAGTGTGTCCCTCAACTCAAATCGGATTTTAGGACACTGAGCCATTGAACTGCCCGTCGAACGGACAATCTATTGGTACCGTCATCAACTCGATTTGCACTGTTGCCACATAATTAGGCAAAAATTCCCAGTGCATGCACCAGTGAAAGGGTTGCCAACCTCAGCCTGTCTAATAGATTCGCGAGCGCAAAGCCTGGATATTGCTTTTGTGGTTTCTAGTCCCATTGAAGGATTATTCAGCTCAACACATGTCCAGTCTAGAGCGGTGGTGTTGTCCGTCCACACTCCAGACGACTGATTCCGAGAGTCATTTTCATCGCTCTGTCTCCTGTACGCTACGCCCCACGAGTGCGAGGAGAGACAGACAACATTTCTCTGAATCAGCCTGCTGGTCTTCGCGCCACTGTGCGCCGCGGTCGTGCGGTTCGGTTCGGTTCGAGCTCGAGCCTCAATTTCTCCGCAACGCGAGACGTGGGCTCGTATTAGCGCAGGTGTGGCAACGCCAGCAACGCCACTAGCCAGGCTTGGATTGAGTTATCGGCCGGGGAAGGCCAGAGCAGGGCGGGCTGGCTTCGGCTGGCTTCGGCTATGACGTCCACGCGGTAACGCACGGGAAATTCAAACACGGCAGTGCAGAGCCCTAGATCGAGCCGCCACCGGCCGCGGCGACGGCGGCGATGGCGGCGAAGTCGACCCAGACCTCCTTCGCTAATGGTTGTTACGGCGCGGCCCGGTGCGGCGGCCCGGCCGCGTTGCGTCGAGGCGTAGAGGCTGCACCTGCCGGCTCCGGGCTCGGGGCGGCTCGGGGACCAGTCCGGGATCGAACCCCGGTCCCCGGCATTCCCCGTGGTTCGCCGCCAAGGCTCTCTCGGCGACACTGCCAACTGCCAGGACACTGCCTTGATTCACCGTCGGTAAGCCTTGCCGCTTCCGGCACGGCCTCTGCACCCAGAGCGACCTGGGACCAGAGCGGCGGCCGAGGCGGGGCCGGCCGAGGCGGGGCTGGCCACTGGCGGGCTGCCAGACATTGCCATTGTGCGAGGTGTGCCGCCTCAGTCAGAAGGACACAGTTTCGTCGCGTCTCCGTTGCATTCACGGGGCGTTCCGTAGGGGTGCGAGAGAGACGGAGCGACGAAGCGGCCCTCCAGAACCAGGCAACTAGACCGGCCGGGAGTAAATAGCGTGGCGGCAAGAGCACCGCATGTCGACACGGCCAGCAGGTCGGCGATGACGCCGCGCCGACAAAGGGTGTCTACTTGATCCGACGGCCGTTCAAGAAGCGCCCCTACGCTGTCGACAGGGCGCGGGCGAAACGAAACAGCAGACTGGTCCCGAGAGTCGTTTTCGTCGCTCTGTCTCTCTCGCAGTCACAGGGCGTACCGCGCAGGCGCGAGAGAGACAGAGCGACGCAGTGCCAAGTGGCACACGGCGTGGGCCTGGGCTGCAGTGCCGTGGCACTTACCTCCGAGGGCTCCCATGATGCCGTGGTAGCGGTCCTCCACCGCCCGGGCGAGGGCTGCGGCCGCCATGGTGTCGGCGCGCGGCGATCTGCAAACCAAGAAGGGGGTTAGGTGCTGCAAGTTGGGTCCGCGGCCGGGGCGCCACAGGCCGGCGGTGCGTCGTCGGGGACTTGAAGGGTGGAGCGGGCCGAGGGGGCGGCAGGCGGCAGGCGGCACCAGGACCGACCAGGACGCACTCCCCGTCAGGATGCCGCGCCGGCTCGTCTCGCAAGCTCCTCGGTGGTCCGGACTCGGACCGACCCGGACTTGTTCTGCCCGGAGTACCTCGGTCCCCAGGGTCCCCAGTGTCACAAGCATCGTCGGGGCATCGGCGTCTGGTAACGCTCGACCGCCCCGGGGCCCACAGCCCACCGCGCAGCCCACGGCACACGGCAACAAGAGGATAAGCCAATTCTTACGTCGGCGGGGAAAAAGGACCCAATAAAAATCAAGGCTGCCTTTTTCGAAAGTTTTAGCGGGCGCGCCACCGTTTTCGTTTTGTGCTCCGATAAGGAAGATGGAGGCAAACACGGTTAAAGAGGGAGACATAATTTAAGCAAGGCTCAAATGTTACTCGGCGAGCAGGTTGCGGGCCGGTGGTGTAGGAAACGGAACTCGTCGGAGGCATTAGCCATCTTCACTTCACGACAACGCCGAGCACGCCGAGCACGCCGAGCACCACTCGAAGCGACTTCGGACTCCTCGCGAGCAGCGGCTGTCTGCGCGGGGACCTTGCGCCGCCCTTGGGCTTGGGGCGGCGTGGCGGCACGACGGCATGGCCAGCGGGACCCGCGCACGGTGGGCCAGAAGACCGGTGGAGGCGGCCAAAACTCTTGACGCGTTTTGGGCTCCACAGGCGCTAAACAGGACTCGAACCGAACGTGTGACCCCACCAATGGATTCCTCGTTCGGAGAGCAATCCATTGGTGGGGTCACACGTTTTGTTGGAGTCCCATTCAGCGACTCTGGAGCTCAAAACGCGTCTCGAATTTTGGCCGCCTCCACCGGTCTCCTGGCCCACTGTGCCGCGGGAGCCCCAAAGTCCAAAGGTGGCCGCGGGTCTTCGGCATGACTCGGCGCTCCCAGGAGTCGCCCCCTGCCGCACACAGGACGCAGTCCGTGATGCCGTGCTAGGGCCTACCCTCGTCCTCGGTGAACGCCCGGACGGCCCGGACCTCGCAGGGTCACTTGCCGGACCGCATTCGCGAGGCGGGGAGGGGAGGGGTGAGTGTACACGTTCCAGTACCTGACCGCTTCCTCCGCGTCCAAGGGTCACGACCGGGGGAGGGGGAGGGGGTACTTTCAACCGACCCCGCCCCGCCGGCGATTTTTCTCTCCTTCGGGTTGTTTTCTTTATCCTTCGTTTGACGTGCTTCATCGCCGGGCAACGCACTCTGCCATCCGGCTCCGTGAGGCGCCCGCCCCTGGCACGCTGTTATTACCCTGCCCGTCAACGGCGCAAGACCCGGACGACGCGGGCAGTGTTTGTTTCGTCCGAAATGGAAGACGGCCGCACAAATGGGGTGAGAACAGGGCAAAACGCGAAGAGCGGGGGTCTTAAACCGAGGCTGGGCGGTCCAGGAGAGTCCATCGGCGACCTTGCGCCGCCCTGCCGCCGCCCTGTCGGTTCGATCCGGCCGTAAACGACCGGCATCGGCTTTACGAGCGACAGTGCATCGCCGAAGCGCGCCGAAGCGTGCGCGGCGTTCAAACAAGGCCTGAGGCGAGGCGAGGCTTTCAACCGCGCCGCCTGCCGCGCGCCGCCTCCTCGGTGGAAGCCTCGGTGGAAGCGCGTCCGTGTCGTTGCCTCGTGGAATGCGAACGCAAATGCACCGCCATTTCCTTCGTTTTTGCCGATCCTGCCTTATTACCGCGGGGGGTCATGTCGACTGCCGCGGAGGTGCGTTGCTCCCGGCCTGCAGGCCGATGCCGAACTCCCTCGCTCTGTCTCCCTCGCACTCATGGGGTGTCCCGCAGAGAGACTGCGATGACGCACTGTTCGACCTGTTCCAGGCTGTAGCGTGCTGAAGCAGGGGGTGCGGCGGAACGGCCAGCGTCTTATTGTTTTGCTTTGCTCTCCGCGCACGGAGAGACCAAGAACAAGAATGGGGGAATCCCACTAGCAGCGTAGCGGCCAGGAGCATGGCCTTAAGTGGCTTGACTCGCTGCCGGTGATATCACGGCCTTCCTACATCATCTTTCTCCTCTTGTTCGTGCACCCGTCTCTCATCCTCCTTCCCTCTCTCCTCCTCTTTCTCTTTCTCCTCCTCCTTCTCCTCCTCTCCTTCGTCGTTAGCCGGAAGGATGGCACTGGCCGGCCGTTTAGGGGCGAATGTGTATTATTGGGGATACTCAGCAGTGGGAGCGCAGACGCCAATAACACTGTACTGTACTTTTTTTTCTTCCGTTGTTTTTATTTTGTTGTTGTTGTTGTTGTTGTTGTTGGATAGAATTCCACTCTGACGTCCCGGTCCCGTCCGTCCGTCTGTCATCATCATCGTCGCAGAGTACTCTTTGAGAGAAACCGAAGTCTCGCCTGCGGAGCCGGCGCGGCCGAGCCCGACTTGGAGATCCATTCCGTCCCCGTGTTGCAACCAAATTATGCATTCTGCGAGTGGATGTGCAGCCGCCACGCTCCGCCACGCTCCGCCACGCAGCTACTTCAAAAAGCAAAGCGAAGGGCATCCAGTGAAGCTTCCTGCTCCGACAATAACAACACTCACACTCACACACACACACACTCGCACACAACTCGTTGTGGTCAAAGCTTGTTTTGTTTCGATTCGCGTTTGCCTCAGAAAGACGGCATGAATTTATTTGGTCATCAATTTTGAAGTTGTGTACTTTTTCTTCTTTATCTGTCTGGACGCGCGACCGGCAGAGCGCACTGCACCAGCACGGCATGTAAGAGGCCACTGCCACAGCAAGCCGTAGAAACCACGAGGAAAAACGAAACCGACGTAGTATAGTCGTAGTAGTGTTTTAACGATGAGTTTTTTTTCCTCCTGTTTCCATTGGGATCTAAACCGAGATTCTCATTTTCTCTCTTTTTGTGTCTGTCGTACTGTACACTCGCACAATGACTCTCCAGACGATTCCGCTAACACTTTAAATTGTTGGTGGGGTCGTTAGTCGGGCCGTCCGTCAGGCAGACATCGCGACTGCATGGGGTATCAGGAACGCCGGAACGCCCCGCCCCACCCCGCCCCACCCCGCCCCACCCCTCCTGACGCAACCATTTGTGCGCGCTCCAGCTCCGCTCCAGCTCCGCTCCAGCTCCAGAGACCCATGCACTGGAGCGACGCCCGCCAGACTGGTCGTCCTTGGAAGGCCGCGGTGCGGCGAGGTGGGGCGTGGCGTGGCGGGGTGGGGCGCGGCGGGGCGGGGCGGGGTGGGGCGGGGCGGGGCGCAGCCGCCAGTGCGGTGCAGCCAGGACCATCGCCCTGCTCGCTCCTCCTATCCCCCGAGCAAGTCCGAACCCTCTACTCGGAGCAGCCCCGGCCGTGGCCATAGAGAGCCGGCGACGCGACGCGGCGGCCGGACAGCGCGCGGCAAAGGCGGCACGTCGCCGACGGCGACATCCCATTCCGAGCCTTCCTCGTGGCGGCAAGGCGAGCAGGACGCGGCGCGGAGTCTGGAGTCTCCAGGCGAGAGATGCTGGAGGGCACGCCTGCTGTCCTGGACCGGCCTGCCATCCCCGGGGCGTGCTGCACGGCGATGGCGAGTGCACTGTTCGAAACGCGCGGTCAGCGTGTTGCGACTAATGGAAACAAACCGACATTCACGCCGCGGCCACAAAGAAAAAAACGATTCTCTTTCTTGTTTATTGTGGGAAAACATGCACAATTATCCTGCGCCACTGTTATGCGCTCCTCGCCAATTCTGGCGGGACGATAACTCTTACACGGCGATTGTGCGGGCAGATGCAACCGGCCGCCCGATTACGCAACCAGGGGGCAATTACCCATCTCACACCGGGCGACGGCTCTCTGGTACAGTCGGCCTCTGCAGTGGCGTGACGTCGGCCGTCTGACCGCGGCCCCGGTGGGTGGGTGGGTGGATATGGCCAGCACTGTCCGGCCGAAATTTTAGCGGGGCGTCCCCCCCCCCCCCAAGCAACAAGCTAGAAGCCTAAAGCAGAAGCCTACAGGGCGGCGCGGAGCGCGGTCTTCTCGCGGCGCGTCTCGCGTGCTGTCGTTCCCCTTGGTGTCGCCGTACTTGCGCGGAACAGGACAGGTGCAGCTGCAGGCCAAGGTGTGGGACCGGCCTTCGGACGGCCTGGACGGCCTGGACGGCCTGCAAGCGCGCGCCGACGCCCGGAAGGAGGTGCGACAGCGAGGCGACAGCGCAGTGAACCGCCTGGCGGGTAGGCAGCCCCGACGCGCTCCAGGGCCAGGGCCAAGCCAGGGCCAAGCCAGGGCCAAGCCAGGGCCGGGCCAGGCGCGGGGCTCAGCGGTTCGAGGGGTCTACGACTCCTGGACGTGCGTGCGCAGACCGTCGGCGCGTCGGCGGCGCCGCGTCGGCCACCTCCGTGACCCCCGCCGTCGTTGTGGTCGACGGCAACGTCGGCGGCGACGTCGGCGTCCATCATTAGGCTTTTCATTGGCGGCCGGGCAGGCCGAGCAGGCTGTGGTTTTGGCGCCGACTCGCCAGGAAAGTTCCCGTGCCGCCGCGAAAAATGATTGGCGCAAAGTGGGTGTGGGTGCAGCGGGCGGCCGACACGTACGAGGTATGAGGCGGCGGCAAGTTTTGCGCAGAGACGCGCGGGGCGGTGCTCACTGGAAACGTACTCGAACGTACGCCAGGCGGCAGGCACAAACATGGGGAACATGACGCGCTCAATTTGGGACACGAACGACCGGCGGCGCGCGGTTCGGTTTCAGACTCCGCGGATCGGGAAGGGGAAGGCAAATGGGCTTGACGCGCCGCGCGGCCACGCGGCCACGCGCTCAATATCCTCGATATGCCACTACGCGATGTTGGCACCGCTGGCAGGCACTGGCAGGCGCAGTGCGACCGGTCGGCTGCCGCTGCGTTGGCACACCTGGCACACCTCGTTATTTCGTGATTTGCCACTTTGGAACGCGCGATGGGGAGCCGAAGCCGAAACGGACCGCCCGGGCGAGGGTGTCGACAGTCCCGTCCGTCCCGCGGTCCAGCGGCCCGGCCGAGGCCCGGCGGTGCCGCCGCCTGCAGCAGCGCCCCGCTACCGCCACTGCCGCCACTGCCGCCGCCAAGGACGACCACCTCCTGGAGCTGGACGAGCTGGACGAGCTGGGGCCTCAGGAGCTGCGCTGCACCACTGCCCGCTAGCACTCTGGCACCGGCAAGGCTTCCGCGCCGCATCCATCAAGCTGACGACATCCCGCCGACTTTGTTCCTTTTTTAATTCGCGTCCAGAGCAATCTGGCAGGCGCGAACAAAACACTGCACGCACACAGCCACACACACTCACACGTACGTTTGGCAACTCTAACACGGTTAACCCACTGGCGCGGTGGCCGTTGCTGCCGTGTGTTGTTGCGGGATTTTATCTCGGATGTTGGCGAGCCTTCCCTCCCCTCCGCCTGGAAGGCCTGGACCCCCAGCACTGTACGTGTCGCTGTGTGCGTGCCCGTGCGCGCGTCTGTGTGTGCCTGTGTGTGTGGAATGTCGCTCGTTGCGTTGTGTTGCGTCTTGTCCTGAAATGCCCTCCACACGCGGCCGGCCTGATCGCATCGGGGTGCTCCGGCCCTCCCCCTCCCCCCCCCATTATGTCTCTCTGTCTCGCTCCCGCCCATGCTGGACCACCCCTGCATGGACGGCGCGGCGAAGCGCGGGCATATTACCTCACCTACGCGAATGGCCAGGACGGCGACCTTACAGTAAGGCACAGGTGTAGTGGCACCAACGTGTGTCATGGCGAAGGTGTAATCGCAGAGGCGTGCGAGAGAGATAGCACCTTTACGACGACCCCATATACGCCCATTGAGTCCGCAGACACACACACACACGACCCGAGTGTCATCCGCCACTGCCTCCATATACATTGCGCACGCGCTTTTTACAATGCCGCCCCCTCCCTCCCCCTCACGCCGGCATTGCTGGCATTGCTGGCATTGGCCATAACCTCGCCTCGCTTTCCTATCCTGCTAATTCGGTGTTGCATCCTACCGGGCCATCGGGCCCAGCCAGCCACAAGGGCCCTCTGCGTGTACGTCCAAAATAGTAGTTTCTTGAACCAAGAAAATTTACTTCCTACGAGTAAAGTAAAGTCACTTGGTGCGGGTCTTTTATCTTGGTTCGAGAAACGATTTTTTTTTCGGTGTAGCAGCTGGTGATCACGCGCGCGGGTCCATTGTCAACCGCTGAGTCGAGTCAACATAAACGTTGCAGCAGGTTCATTTTACGCAAGTTATGTATTCCGCTCAGGAATTTGTCACGAAATTTGTCACCCTTTCGAAAAGGTCATGCATCTGAAAGGGCGCGTTAAGAGCTAGCAGCTCTGCACCTACTCTGCAAAAAAATGTTAATTGTATTATTGTCGCCGAGACGCGAGCGGTGATGCAATGCACTCGGGCACAAAATTGTCGGTGTCCTGGACTTCCCATTGTAACACACACACACATTCACTCAGTCTGCTGGGACACACTCACACACGCGCGCGCACACACGTGCGCACTGCTTAGGACACGCAACAGGTCGCGGGCGCACTTTTTGCCAATGCATAATGTAGCGGCCGGCCGAGGCCGGTCTGGCGCCTAACGGCCTAACGGCTAGCGTCTAGGACTCTAGGCGCGCCGGGCAGCGCCACGCCTGGCTTGGCCTGAGGCAAAGTGCAGGCGACGACCGGTGCGGCCACCAGGACTGCCAGGACGCGGCGACTCGGCAAGGACCACTAGGCTGGGCTGGGCTTGGGCCGATCGGGCAACGGCCGAAAGGGCGGCGCCGTGCGTTAAGGTCTCTGCAAGGCGTGTCGCCTCATCGTCTCGGCTCACCTGTCGTGGCGGTCGTGGTCCACGGGGCGCGCTGGCGAGCGCTGCCCACCCCGTACGCGGGGTGCTCTCCTCCCGGTCCCCTCCCGGTCTCCGCCCCCGCGGCGCACTGCTCTTCACTTTGACACTTTGCACACTTTGCACACACACACTCGGGCGTAATCCACAGTGGGCTGGCGCTGGCTCGGCTCCCTGGGGTCGTCGTCGTCGAGGTGCTCCCCGCGAGAGTCTCCCGGACGGCCTTTGCGTTGGCGGCGTGCGCGGCGTGCGCGGCCGCGGCGGGGTCCCGAAAGCTGTCGCGCAGACTGACCGTACCGACTCGACGCCGACTGGGCTTGTCTTGGCTCGGCTCGGTCGGCGCGGTCCTCGGCTGGGTTCGCGGGGCCGCGGTGCGCGGTGCGTCGGCCAGTTGCTCAACGCGGGCGGACGGGACGGACTGGACGGCTTTGGAGCGGAGCACATCGGCCCGGCTCATATATATAGACTTGGCTCGCGGCGGGGCGGCCAGGGGAGGCGGGGGCCGGTGGGGGGCGTGGCGGGGGGCGGCGGGGCGGCCCCAGGGGAGTGGGGGGCGCACGGGAGCCAAGCGCGGCGGAGCGCGGCCCAGGGGGGATGCTGGGCCACTGTGAGGGAAGGGTGCACCGCGTCCAACGGGTAGGGCGGTGGACGCCCCACCGGGACGGACTGCCAAAATCTCACGCCCCGACTTTGACGTTTATTGTGATCTATTTCACCTAAAAATCATTGGGATTTGGTTAAAAACAGTCCCCTTCCAAAAAAAGAGGTAAAACTTTGAGAATTTTGGTTATTACGCTTGAGCGCGCTATGACGCGTGTCATCACGTAGTGACCCCCTCGCCGGCCACAGGAGTCCAGACCAGCGCTAGAGCGCCACGCGGATGACGGCGTCGAGGTGGCTGCCCCAAGGGCTGCCCCAAGGGCTGCCCCAAGGGCTGCCCCAAGGGCTGCCCCAAGGGCTGCCCCCTGCCCTGGTCCCTGGCGACTTTACGGTGGGGTGACTTCTCTCGATGCATCTTCGTCGATGGCCGTGCTCGTCGGTCGCTCGTCTCCACTCGCTGATTTAGTGGTCCTAGTTCCTTCATTAGCGGGGTCTGTCAGGGAATTCCTGCAACCCACGCCGATTCCTCAAAGTCATCGTTTCGCGAAGCGAGACAACAGGAAGCCACGCGATCCAAAGGTCCTCCCGAAAGTAACCGCTTTAGCACTGGTGCTCCAATGGGTCGCTTTACAGCGTATACGGCCACGGCCAGTGACCATGCTTCGCGGAGCTTCGCGTGCCGTCGCTGTGCGTGCGCTCGTGTGTGCTTGTGTGTGTCGTCTGTGTGAGTGAGTGTGTGAGCCGCAGCCTTGCTGAGTCAGCTAGGTCCGCATCGGTGCCGGTCCCTCAGTACCCGGTTCCTCGGTACCCGGTTCAAACTTCGAACGCCCGGGCTCCGGGGTTCCCCGTTGCGTTCCCAGGCTGCACCTGACTGTAAGCTTCGACTGGACAGGTCAATAATTGCAAGATTGGCGCGTGAAACCCTGCCGAGGATGGCGTCGTCCGACGCGTGTTGTTGTTGTTGTGATCAGCGCCAGGATAGCGTCGTGGAAACTCCGCGCAAACCAACAAAAACAACAACATCGCAGGATAATGGAAAGGTAGGTGTAATGGTCACTGGAATTTTTTTAATGTCCCTGCTCTCCCGAAGAGAGCTCGGTGACGTCGTCGGTCGGCTTGCGTCGCGTGGCGTCGCGTGGCGTCGCGGTTCGAGCTTTTAATCCATGCGCGTCACCGTCTTCAGACGGCTTCCGGCTGGCCGCTGCACTTCCAGTTCCGCGCAGGCGTTTGAACTCGGCGCGCGAAAATAGTTTTGACGCGGTCTGCGGGACGGCGGGAAAACGAGACGTCATCACAAGGCAGAGGATTAGGAAAACTAAATGGCGGCTCTGCCTGGCTCCGCTCGGCACGTGGCTGTTTGCAGCGATTGTCAAGGCGAAGTCAACCCGGTCCGCTCTTGGAGTCTTGGGCCGCCGAGGCTGCGGCGCTGCGCCGGCCGCTAGACGGAACCACGGCACGGAGGACTCTCGAAAATGTTTGGCTCTGGACAGTCAAACAACGGCGCGGCCTGGCTCTCCCGTTCGATGCATATGCCAAAAAATCGGCCATCAACTTTTGCTCCCTTCTTTCCCCGCCTTGCAGTGTGTTTGTGTGTGTGCGCGCGCGCCGCCACTGTGGGATTCATAGTGCGAGTCTGGCGGGTCAAAGTCACAGACCTGTTCGAGCGTACTGCCGTACAGCGCAGCGTTAATCGACAGCACGCGTCGGAACGGCGATTGAACAATGGCCGAAAATCCTTGAAAGCTGCGCTAGCTGTGCAGGCCTCAACAACGTGTCAAGCCGGGAGCCAGGCAAGCCAGGCACGGCATGCGGCTATTATTACCCAATCAGGATGGCGTGCGGGCCGGCCGGCCTGGGCATGCACGTCCCCGATTTCGCGCGCCAAGATGTCCTGCCCGCGTGTGTGTTTGGGAGCGTCTGGCCGCGTGACAGAGTTTAAAGCGGACGGAGTTTAGACAGGCGGAATGGGAAGCAAAGTGAGAAACCGAGAGGCCGTTTACCGACACGAGTCCGGGGCGCGGTGGCGCGGTAGGGGCGCACCGCGCGGCGCCGAGCAAGGCGCCGAGTGCACTGGCGAGTTCAAGGACGAGGTGCGCCTCAAGGACGTCAAGGACGCCTGGCTGGTGACCTAATCGTGCTCCGGGCGGCGGGCTCCGGGCGGCGCGCTCCGGGCGGCGGCGGGGCCACCAAACCGGTGCATTGCGAGCCCAGCCCGCCCAGCCCATCGTCCGCCGGGCCCCTCCCCGCCCCTCCCCACCAATCCCTCAGCACACACAGCAGGACATAATCAACCCAAAATGGCCACACACTGTCTTGCGGGTGAATTGACCGCGAGGCGCACCTCGCTGAGGAAGACCGTCTGGCGGGGTGGAGGGGCGGGGCGGGGCGGGATGAAGTTTGTCCTTCCCCCTAGCCGACGGCTCCCCCTACCCGCCACCCCCGACTGCAGTCCGCCGCCTCGCCCGCCCAGGTACGGCGGCACGGGGAGTGGCGCAGACCAGGCGCAGACGGCCGCCGGAACTCCTGCCTCCCCCTCCCCCACGATGACGTGATGATCCGGGCCCTCGTAACCGTGCCATCCCAGGGCTCGCTGTCTGGTAATGAACCCGAATGTAGGCCACGCCTCGGATCCGGCCCGCCCAGCCCCGCTGCACCTTGCCGGCGAGTTACAGTGCGTGCGGTGCGCGTGCGTCCGTTTGACAGGTTGGCTCCGCGCTCGGCGCTCCGCGGCAGTCGGCGGCAGTGCACGCAAGACGGCCACTAATTGTGTGACGGCGTGGTGCAGCGCGACGGTCGCCATAACCTCAACCTTCCATTCCTCAGTGCCATGGTGGCCGCGGCGGCCGCGGTGGTCGGTGCCGCCCTGTCGCGCTGCCGCGCTGTCAACTCGCCATTTTCCCAAGCCCCTGCTTTACTTTCCCCCGGCCTTGGGGGCCTTGGAGCGCTTCGGGGGAACCGGGTCACTGGGTCTTCGCCGAGGTCTTCGCCGAGGTCTTCGCCGAGGTCTTCGCCCTTGCCGCGACCTTGGCGGGGCCACGCGCCACGCCGGCAGGCAGGGCTGGCAGGCAGGGCGGCCAGAGGGCCGCCGCTCCATATCCCGCACTTATGTCACTCACTGGCGCCTTGCCTGGCCGGCCTGGCTCGGCCCGGCCCTGCCGGCCAGGGAAGGACAGGGAAGCCCTCCGTCGCGGTGCGTCGCGGTGCGTCGCGGTGCCCCGTGGGAAGAAAGGGACCGCCGCTCCCTCGGCCAGCGTGCTCGGCGTGCTCGGCGTCAAGGGCTGCCCGTCGGGCCACGCCGCGGAGATTAACAGTTATGATGCGATTGTCATGGCCTGGCAGCTTCTCTCCCAAATTTAATAACTTGGCGGGTGCGTGTGTGTTTCGCCATCCGGAGCGTTGCTATCCCTGAGGCAGCCGGTGCTCGGTGCAGCTGGTGCAGCTGTGCGTCCGTCCAGGTTCCGCCAGCCTAACAAGTGTCAGTGTGTCAGCCAATCCCCGGCGACCTCTGCCCTCAGGGATTCGCAGTGCCCGCCTCCCTTGTCGACGGCTGAGTCCGAGTGTCCACTGCCCCCTCCCAATCTGCGTCCCCCAAAGGGATGATTGTGGGGCCGCCATTACTCGCCTTCGCGGATGTTTGCACCGCGTTCCATTGCGTTCCGTTGCGTTCCGCACCGCTTTGCTTTCCATACTGGATTCGACCCACGATGTGGCGGAGTGGGGCGGGCCCTGCTAATTGGGACATTGGAACCCGATCACGCCACCCGAACGGCCCGAACGGTCCGAACGCCACACCCCGGCCCTGCAGCAGGTTGCCGACGGCGTGGTCCGAGTCGACGTGGAGACGACCTTTGCACGCCACGTGTGTGTGTGTGTGTGTGTGTGTGTGTGTGTGTGTAGGTGTGTGTGTGTGTGTGTGTGTGTGTGTGTGTGTGAGTGCCTATCTGGAACGTCCTCGAGACTGCGTTCGCGGAGAGCCAGGTGTTGTCCCGCTTGCACCAGGTTGCACGCGGCCAAGGGTCAGCCGGCGGCCGCCGCTGATTCCGGAGGGCCGTTTCATCGCTCGCACTCTCTCACGCACGCTTGCGCACTCTCGGAACGCCCCGTGGTGCGACAGAGACAGCAATGGGGCGAAACACCCCTCGGAAGCAGGCGGCCCGAGGCGGCCGGCGCGAGAGACAAGGACGGAGGCGTGGCGGCTCGGCGGGCTTGACCAGTGGGCCGGTCGGTCACCGGGCGGGAGTCCTGCAGGACAGGCTGGGCTGGGCCGGGTGGCCGGGCCGTTGGCTGCATCCGAGCAGTGCCATGCCTCTCGCACCCGCGGGGTGTCCGGCGCGGGAGCGAGAGAGACAGAGCGACGTTCGGAGTGAGCCTGCTGGGCGCTGCTGGGCGTTTGGACCGCGTGAGCCTGCCTGGCCGGCCCAGCCACACGTGAGCGTGAGGCACCCCAGTCGGCCTGGTCGGCCACAGGCCCCGCAGGCCGCAGGCACTGTTGGGCAACGGAATGCAACATGCGGACCCCGCCCGACCCGCGCTGACCCTTGGCGCCTCGGCGTCGCGGGTTTTATCATATCGATGAGGGCGCCTCGCTGGACGTCTCGCCGCACGTGTGTGTGTGTGTGTGTGTGTGTGTGTGTGTGTGTGTGTGTGTGTGTGTGTGTGTGCGCGTGCGTGCGTGTGAGAAGGCTTTCAACATGCCCCGTGCGTCCCGGAGGATTCCCAAAGCAACACAGTGATGCGGCTGCAAGTGTATTTCACGGTGCGGTGCCTTCCGCGTCCTCCG